ATGGATATAATAATCCAGAAAATAAAAGACAAAGAATATTTGGATATCTTTTCACGTTTCATTTTAACCGTGGATTTATCATCGAATCTACTAAGAACTTTAGTTTTAAGCTATGATCAGTAGCTTAACTCAGTTACTAGAGCAAATGGCTTACTTACGCTTTCCGCAAATATTGTTCGATATTAAACACTTCTATCCAAAAATGTGAAATTTGAGAATCACAAATCATAAAGACGTGGACAATAACTTATTCACACTACAATGTTTTCATGCACTTTCTTCCAGATTTGTAAAAAGTTATAATTGTGAAGCGATTTTTAAGATCACAACTCAAAAGGTCTTTGGGTAGCATACGCGATCACGAGCATGACACTTTCTCTTGCGGCTGGCTTATATTATATAAAAGTTATTATAATACTTCTCAAAGATCTGCCAACTATACGTAAGGTTTTCTCGAAAATGACACGTCATTTGTCGAAGATAGTTTCATTCTGGATACTACCAGCCTCACACTATAAATATTCTAAGGCTTGACTGTCTCAGATGATTTTTCTTCTTAAGTGTTTTCAAAGATTCGAAGAAGGCTTTCAGGAAAAGGAAAGAGCTTGTGATAGTGAACACGAATCCAGAGTTTATTTAGGTCTAATACTTTATGGGAAGACAGAGTTTCGCTAGGCTTTCTAGAAAATTCTACAAAGAAAATCATAGTCTTAGAGCTTTTGAAGTGCTAACGTTTATGGGATGCTAAAAAAACTGTAGTTGACGTTCAGCGAACTGTTTCAGTGACAAAAGCTGCATATGTTGACCTAAGTCTCTCAGCTTCTATATCACACAGGCACTCAATTCTGACTCCAAATGTTTTATCAAATATACAACTTTTTAAATCTTTGAACCTTTAGTGTATCTAAATAATTTTATCATCAGATCATTCGAATGTGCAACTGTGATAGATAATGACACGTCCACAGTTAATTTTTCGGAATTTATTTTAACTAATACATAATGACATAAATGTAGAGTAGATTTAATAATAATAACATAAGTCACTAAGACGAATACGCTCTTACAGTGTTGCGATTCATATCATTAGGGATTATACTATTAGAGATGTTGATGTTGAATAACGACGTTCTTATTGTTCGTCACTGAAGAAATGTTCGACGCTCACAGACAAGGTTTCTCGAAACTTAGTTGACTTTTAGTAAGCTATTCCAATGACAAAAGATACGTGTTTGTCCTGAGATCTACAGGTCTGTCATGTATCCAAAGACCTTTGGACTTCTGACCTTGAAAGTTACTTCATATTTACAACTTTTTATATTCTATCGAGTTAATATATCTTTGATTTTGTTAAAAGTATTTGTATCCAACAAAAACGGCCATTTCCGAGGAAAGATTGTAGAAAAGTGAGTTTTCAGGACCACTGCTTCGACAAAGGGCAAGACTCATTTTCAAACTGAACGTGAATTCGTACATAACTGGACACGGATTACAATCTGCGCATAGTGAGACCTTGCTCATTTCTACGTCATTTCAACAAATCTGGGTGAAATTGCGCGAGAATTTAGGGCAAAAGAGTTGTTTCATAGAATATTTATAATTTCTTCATGCACTTATTGTATCTAATATTCAAGTGAGAATTAAAATAAAAACAATATAAAATAGGCGTTACCTTTCCTCCTGACTGTAAAAAACATAAATATATTTTTAGTATATGAGTAGGATAGTATATTATTGCCAAGGCCACCTTTGAGGATAACATCAAGGTTTACTTTTCAATGAGGAAGATTTAAAAATACATAAGTAAAATAACAACAGACGAATAATTGATGTCCACATTTTGTTGAAGAATTTGTCAGCTTTATGTTCTTAGTGTGAGATATTATATTATGTGCTTAACTAGGTTTTTTTCAATATATACACTCTATTAAGTCAAATCAAAATGTTATGTCATTTTTTATTATTAGGCAGTGAACTTTGTATCATTATATCTCTGCATCTTATGAACAAATAAAAAAAAGCTTTCGTTATGTTTGTAAATATAGTGTTTGAAATCATCCACTCTGTGTTTATCTTCATCGTTCTTTGGAGAGAGAAGGAACAACCATTGTCCATTATATATCATACACACTAGGGATTATGTAATGTTAAATGAAGTCTTTGTCGCATGTTTTCTCGTTCGCAAAATGGAATGGAACATTTTTTTTATGCCTTTTTTTGACAATGAAAACGGCAGAACTAAAAATAAAAATAGCAGAACATTCTACTTTCATTCTTTTTGTGGCTGTTTCATTCATTATATTAGGTCCTGTATGTGTATCGTAGACTATTTTATTGAGATGTGGACCAGTAACGAAACAATTTGACGTTCTATTGCAGCTTGTAATTATCAAGGTAATATTCACTTTTCTTTTCCTCTTCTCATTTTGCCGTCAGACATATATTCATTTGTGTTTCTTAGTCGTATGTATAGGACAATATGAAATAAGCATTCAAGAATAAATGATTGCCGTTTCTTTTTTAATAATGAAATACCGATGACATATCTAGGTACAGTAAAAAATGAACAGAGAAAATCTCACATACATTTGTTGAAACTCAACAATTAACCATATGCTATTGGCCTTTATTTTTCAATGAGTCAACTTTAAAATAACAAAAGAAACAATTGAAGGTTGTTTTCTTGGTCATATTAATATCATGGCAGACTGGTAGGTGAAATAAAAAAAAAAAATGTTTACAGATTCTTCTTGATCATTCTTTCAATCAAAGCAAAAGATCATTTTTTAATAAAATTAGTTTAGAAACGATTCGTGGTTACTGTCTTGCGATGTGTCCGACGTTATAACTTTTTACTTCGCTCCAGAAAAATCGGACCCTAGAGAGTAATATCGAGACAGGCATGTTTCAAAGGAAGCACACACCCCTCTAGAGATGTCAGTTTCTACTTATCAAATTATTAAACGAAAGAGATCTGAAACCATGTGTTCAATATTATCTCAACTATTTTATCTAACAGCAGTATAGAAGAATCACTTGTGTATGTACGATTGATTTTTATTTATATCCGATATGTTTTCCTGCTAGTTTGATTTTTATATCTATTCGATCTTTTATCTTTCATTATTAGTTCCATCTTCTTGTTTTATACGGTCATTATTCAGTTATATAACTTGCCGCGATTTCTCAACCCTACTAATGATTAGTACATAGGGAGAAAGAGATTCCTTCTTTTCTGTGCATGTATGTTCCACACAACTAACTACAAAGAAAATTTTAAAATGTGATCACATTCTATCAGCTGACTGAGACAAAGCGGAATATAAGAGAAAATTATTTTTTTTTCTTTTTTTTGTTCTCTCTCTCTCTCTTTCTCTCTCTGTTCATTATAAGCCATTTTCTTGTTGATGTTCTTGCAAGATTCTTGTTTTTCTGTTTGTTGTCAGACAAGAATCTGAAATACAAATATTTGACATGTATTTCTGGAAGAAAAAAATATTGCTATTTTAGTTTTCTTCTTTTCTAATATATATTAGAGAGATTCGTCCTTCTAATGCCAACACAGGTACAGGTAAAGACTCGATTGTTTCTCAACAAGACAATTTCTGAGATTTAAAAGAATTTCTATCGACACTATACACACACTATAATGAGTCATTATATTGTTATAGGCGTCGTACTATACATAACTCATTATTAGCCGACAAAACAAACTTGATGACAACAAATTGTACCAATTTCACGATAAAAGGTGAAAAAAACAAAGTACCTGTCGAATTTATCAAGATATATAGAAAGACGCTTGTCTAAAATGGCAAAAGATAAGAATCTTGCAAGAACATCGACCAGAAAATAACCTAACGATCGTGCTTAAAGTAATATGACGGTGGCGTACAATAAACATGTATTAAAAACTTCAGTGTAGATGTGAAATTGACTATGGTAAATGTGTATTTATCTCTACTCTTCGCTAGTATTGAACGTACATCATAAACATTTTAGTAAATAAGAGAAAAATGTGTTCATTTTATAATAAAATGTATCCTTGCACGTAGTTCAAGGATCAAATACAATAACATAATCTCTTGAAAATTACACATTAATTGAAAATATTTTTTGTCTATATTTCTTTTATTATTATACATAAGTCCTTGTCATAAAAGTGAGCCTATTATGTATTATTGATTGATGAAGAGAGAGAAGAGCAAGGTCTTACTATTAGTTGTAAATGTAACAAGAATAAAAGGAAAAAACAGGTCATGTAGTTAGATTAGTATATCTATTGCAAAGATAAAAAAACAGGATGTGATCTATATTTTTAATATATAAGAGGTAAGATTGAACGTAAAATCGATCAGTTATTTTGATATCTGTTTCGAGTTTTCCTTGTGACTCTAACAATGACAAAAGTCCACTTTTTGCCGTGATTATAAACGGACGATGATTACTCACATTTGTTTCTCGTATTATTTTATCAAATTGTTCTTGTTTAATAAACAAGAAAAATTTGCAAATTAGATATGAACTATTAATTTATTGCACAATTGTGTCTGATGAAGTCCTGCCGTTGTTATGCATCGTTATGTGCCATTGTCCACTCAAATTTTAGCAGTAAGCGACTCTGCTGAGAATAACAGAATATAGAGATAGTTTGAATACAATTTGTCAAAAATCAAATGATAGAAAAATCAGAAATATTAGTAAATGTTTGTGTTATTTTGACATCAAAGAGACTTGTCATATTTTGCTGCTTGAATAGCATAATAAAAAAAAGTGTTATTATATTTCTATGATACTTTACACTGCTTCAACAACGGCTAGGTCTGTATAATTTAGATTTATTTATTGAGCACAAAGATCATAGATGTAAATAACACTTATTAATCTCTGTTTCTTTTCTCAAAATGTAGAACTGACATGTAGACTATTTATTACATAATTTCAGATTTATTTTTATAAAATATGAGATAGGTTTTTTTTAGATAAAATTGAATGAATAAATGGCTGCAACAGCTGTTATTGGACGATCATTTTCTGATGCACTTTATGAACGATATTGTGATTTTGAATCATCATGGGACGATTTAAAAAGTGGATGTGATATTGTCTTCTTTGTTGGAACATCACCGAAAAAAACAGGTTAGACATAACCCGTTAGATGACGAAGTCTTTTGTTCCTATTGTAATTTACTGATACAAATTTGAAAAGATGATGGTTGTATTCAAAAAATGAATTGTTTGTATTGGATTATTTTTTAGAATCCGGTATTGTATTAACATCATCAAGTGTTGTATTGACAGATGAAAAAATTTCACATGTTGGTGATCCACGTGCTGTTCAACACACTTGTTGTCATGTTGAACTTGTTGATATATCATCGAATGAACTTTCTGATTGGGATGAGGTTAGCCATTTCATCCTCTTTCCTTTCTTAAACTGCACTGATAATATTAGTAATTATTTTTAGATTTCTCTTCTGCTCAATTCCTTACCACATGTTAAAATGATTAATATGAGTTTCAATCCATTTCCAACATCATTTCATGTTCTACCAGACGATATTCGATGGCCTAATCTAAATACATTATGTCTCAATGGTAGTCGCATATTGTTCGAAATGATTATTGAACTTTTGAAAAAAACACCAAAGTAAACTTATCTTATAAAGAACATTTTTCATTTTTTTTGCGTTTGTCCTATTTTAGTTTAGAAGAACTTCAGTTATGTGCTAATGGATATAAATCAATCGAACCTCCTTTAACCGACTTTAAACATTCAAAACTAAAACGTATTTACATTTCAAATAATGAACTAGAACAATGGATGGATTTATGTCAGCTAGGTCTATTATTTCCACAGTTAGAAACCGTAATTGCAAGTGAAAATCCTCTACAAACATTTCGTTTAAATAATTATCATGGACAAATGTTATTAAATGTAATTGATTATTTTCCAAAATTAACGACATTAAGCGTTAATCAAGTACAAATAAAACAATGGGATGATATCATTGAGTTAAATCAAATTTCAAACTTAAATACGTTAAGAATACATTCAGCACCATTATTCAAAGTAAGATTTTTACTAAGATTAAATAGTTTATCTACAGAATAGAATAATTTTAGTCTTATAAACGAGAAGAACGATTCTTTCTTGTTATTGGTTATATGCCAAAATTATCAAAATTTAATGGTAGTTATATAACGGCCAATGAACGTGAAACAAATGAACGAAGATTTATTCGATATTATGCTGAGAAGGATGATAAACCACAAAGGTATAAACTATCTTGATTTTAATTATTTTCACTTTTATCATTGTCTATTTGATGTTTACAGATACTATGATTTAATAAATAAACACGGTCCATTAAAACCATTGGTTGATATTAAAATTCTTACACCTCATTTGACTACCGTTCATCTTGTCTATAATCAATATTCAATCGAAAAAGAAATTGATCTAAGACAAACTGTTCAACAATTTAAAAAATTATTAGAAACAGAATTTCACGTGCCTGTAGCGCGCATGAGATTATTTTATATTGATGAAGTAGCATTCAGTATGGGCGCATGTGGACCAGAAGAACTGAAATATCCACAACGATTACTACACACCTATAATGTACATGATCAAGATAAATTTTATATTGATCTTAAAAATGATAAAACAACAATAATAAAAAAACATTCAGTTTCAAAGACAAAAGGTAAAGTTAGATAGATGGGATACATGAATTTCAGTGAAAGTGTGAATATTTGTTCAATATTATTTCTTTCCTTGTAGAATCAAGTGTACGTCGAAAAATGTTAGATTCAACATCGGCCCAACAATCAGACGAAATTAATTATCAACCAAATTCGTCAATTTCGATATCATCCCACGATGACAAACAGTCAGATAATCAAGAAGAAAATCCATTTTCATTCAATTATATTCAAACTTTTAATAATAATAAACAACAGCAGATTCAAGAACAATTAATGAAACTAGACGATATTGATCATTTATTACCATCTTTGACTACGAATATGACAACAACAACGGCGTATGATGACGATTTGCTCGCTGCTGTTTGTGCTCGTGTGCTAACAACAATGACAACTTCTTCAAAATAATTCTCATATTTTTTCTAGACATTTTAGTACTAGTCCTTCATATTTTTACATTTTCACCGTCCGATACACTCAGTATTTTGTTTCTAAACGTAGCGGTTTTTGTACTCATTAGTGACAGTAATTTCTTAATGCAATGTATTTATTATGTACAGTTGTTTTCGGTTTTATTCACTAGCTTTAGTTATTATATTTTGCAGTTGTCAATTTTTTCCTCTTGTTTTGTGTGATTTGATTTGAGTTTGTCGATATATATATATATATATATCAAATTGACTATACAGAGCAGAAGAATCCTAAGTCACATTCACCGTAGTTATCAAGTCAAAAAAATGTCTATTTTCCGCTCCGTATCATATGATCTATCGTAAAAAATCTTTGAATACTTGTATTAGATATAATTTTGTTTATATGAATATCTGCTATGCCGAGAATTTTATCGAAATGTGATTATCTCTCACATAGCGAAGTATTCGATATCTTTGTCTTAAAGAAGCTATTTATGAACGATTTTATTGCATGATGGTTTTGCGAGACCTATTCATTAACATACTTAAGGGTCCCCCCCTCAGAAATTATCTCTGGCATCGTACATCCGATCTTGACGAAACTTTCCGTAAATGTTCGGCACAATGAGTTACGAGAATGAAAAGATTTTTTTGTCTCCAAGTCTTACGGTTTAGGAGTTTTCCAGAGATCAAGGTTCAAAAGGACCCTGACCGGCGTCCCAAGGTTTTTTAATATACTTCAAGCTGGAGAGTTCGGGTTTGTTTTATTTTAAACTAGACACCTAACTACATCGACTGACCGGCGCCGATTTTTCGATTAAGCCTTTATTGATTTTCCAG